TTGTCTAACATAATATTTCAAACCAAAAAAATTACAAGTCTCAAAACTTGAAATACTTAAACTACCAAAAGATCGACTAGTCATGAGTAGCTACTTGAAAATACTAAAAATTATAGAATGTTCATTGCATATCATCATGTATATCAGTATTTTCATCATGAGACTGTCCCGAATGAGTGTGATTAGATGTACCACACTCAGATGTATCACCATGTGATCGTCCTGATGATGTGCTAAGAGGAGGAGGCATGATGTTTTTCTCAATCAATATTTGCTTCATAGCTTCATGTTCTCTTTTCATTGTTTCCAATTCATCCACCAATTCATCATAACTAGGATGCTTAGATTTCTCAGTAGAACCTGCGATGTTACCAGCGACAACAAGATCACGTCCCCACCCGAACAAACGAACTAAGCTTCGTCCAAGTACCTTCTCTAGAATCAACTTGTCACTCATTGATTCCAAGGAATGCTCGTTTCTCATCTTTTTCATTTCTTCCTGTTAGCATATAAAAATAAGACGAGTACATTAAATAAATTATTTACCAAATAATATATATTAAACGGTAGAAATGAGCAACTACACTTACATATTTTGCAGCCATATCTGTATATTTCCAACCTTTTTCTTCATCCCAATGTGTAAGTCGCCAAGTCTCAATATGACCCAATGAAGAATCCACATCATGTCCAAGCTCAACATGATAGCGTATTGTACTCTTCGATCCATTTCTTGTCTCCATTTTTTGCTTTCCGCGAGCAACAACCTTCTTTTTTGCAATTTCCTTCAAGGAGATACAACCAAAATACTAACAAATATTATACCGAATTCAACAATATTAATTAATTTAATAGCTCAAATATTTTTAAAACATTACCATGTATTTTGGCTCACACCACATGTCACATAGATACTCCCAGTCTTCTTTGCTACGAATATTTGAAGGGGGTTTAGTCTTTGCCTTTATTGGGTCTTCTGGTCCTCCAATCTCTTTAAAGTATTTATGCAACTCAGCTCGAAAATTTCTCCATGACCTTGCCATATAGCTATCGATAACTTTGCAAACATTCTCATTTTCCACATCAATATCAAAAAGTGTCTTCAAATAACAAACACAATTAACTAGTTAGTAATGATGATGTTAAAGTCATACTAAAAAAACTTACAGTTAGCTTGTGGCGTAATGGAAACTTCTCTTCCTTCGGTACAAGCCTCCACTCTTTGTGTTGTAAGCTACAGTTCTTACGTAAAATATAGCCACACTCATATGTGAAAGCTGATTCATTGTTACATATTACTCGCCTTGCTACAAAATTAAATTCTACGGGCAATCTCTTCTTAGACGCTTTCATTGCCTTTCGAGCACCTTTGCCACAAGTGATGCCACGCTTTGCAATTGTAGCATTACTATCACTTTCTTGCTCGGTCTCAAAAACTGTGTCTATAAGCAAGTACAAGTAGATTTACATTAATAATATCACATACTGCAATATATTAACAAGTAATTTAAACATACTAACCCGATTGTTGCTCTCTTTGATATTGTTCAACATTAGTAACTACGTTTGTTGTAGATGGTTCTATTTAAAAAAATTGAAAATGTAGTAAGGATCAACACCAATGACATCAGAGTAAGTATCATAAGATTAAGAGAAAAGAAAAAAAAGTTCTTACTTGTACCCGAGATTGGAGAGATTAGATCTGGCCGATTGTTTGAGATTAAGGGGTTTGTATCTGGTGATAGTGGTAATCAAAGTAATTAATAGAAAAAAGAAAAGAATTATTGGTTAAAGGGTTTGCATAGAAGGTCCATGTTTAAGAATAACTGCATATATGGTCATGGTTTAAAAAAATGCATGAATGGTACCTGTTTAAAATTTACTGCACAAATGGACTTTGTTTAAAATTTGAAATAATGGTCCCACTTTTTAAAAATACTGCATAAATGGTCCCTATTTAATAAAAGTGCATAAATGGTCCCTGTTTAAAAAAAATCGTATAAGTGGTCCCTGTTAAAAAAAACTACATAAATGGCCCATGTTTTAAAAAAACTACATAAAGGTCCATGTTTAAAAAAAAACTATGTAAATGGTTCGTGTCTTAAAAAACTGCAATAATGGTCTCTATTTTTAAAAAATATTACATTAATAGTCCTTGTTTACAAAAACTGCATTAATTGTCATGTTTAAAAAAAATTCATAAATGATCCTTGTCTAAAAAATCTGCATTAATGATCCTTGTATAAAAAAACTACAGAAATGGTCCCTATTTTTTTCAAAAATAAAAATATACCTTTTTTTTTATCAAAAATATTGATTTATGAAAATATAACAAAATCTTACCCGGAACTGATGTGTTGTAGGGAGTGGTACGTCGCCCATCTTCTCTTGCTAGTCTACCTCGTTTACCACGTTCACCTCTTTTTGACATTATGCTTTTTGCAACTATAAAAAACACATTTATAACTCAGCACGATAATACTAAATTTAACAGAAAAAATATTTTTGTAGCTATAAAAAACACATTTATAACTCAACATGATAACACTAAATTTAACAAAAAAAAAAGCTTTTTGCAACTATAAAAAACACATTTATAACTCAACACGATAATACTAAATTTAACAGAATAAAGCTTGTTACTAAAAACTAACCTATATGTATCAATTAAATCATGCAAAACAATCGTCGTCATCACTATTAGGATTTGGATTATCAGAATCATTGTCAGTCTCCGAATCAAGAATAGCTTCGTTATTTAAAAAAATTCTACCATCATCATCAAATTCATCATCAACATCATCTAAGTTATCGGCAACAACATTTCTATTACGTACTGCTAGCACCGCCTCAAGTGGTAATGTTTCAGGTTCTACATCATTTCGAACTATGAAAGAGGTGTTAGGTAACTCTTCGGATGGTTGAAAAGGTGGCAGTTCACAAGATTCCTCTTCTTGAAATATATCATTCATCAATACTTCATCTTCAACATGCTCTGGTATATCATAAATATTACGATGGTTTACTCTTTGGACCACCATCCAATTCTTCCCACGTGCTAAATTATTCAAATAGAAAACTTGTTGAGCTTGACTGGCCAAAATAAATGGTTCTTCTACATACCACTTAGATGTAATGTCAATTGATGTCAAATTGTGATCAACAACCATCTTTTTTCCCTTTGGATCGGTATTATACCACTTGCAACGAAACACAAATACCTTTCTCCCAAGTATGAAATCCAACTCTAAAACTTCAAGAAAAACACCATATTAAATCAATTCATCATTCTCATCCCCTACACACACTCCACTACATTGTGTTTTAAACTTGTCATCACGCTCCTTGCAACGAAATCTAACACCATTGACGATACAACTTTGCCAACTTGTGTAGCGATCATCAGGAAATTGTGACAAGGCGTACAAATCATCTGTTGCTTTAGGATCACCATTAGCCCTAAGCAAAGCGATCTATAAACTCCTTATTTTAGTTATAAATGTACTTAAAATCAATTACTAAAAGTAATAAATTTGTAGTTTTACCTTTTTCTTGAACCAAGAGGGAAATTCATTTTTTTGTATGGTATCTATATTTGCTTGTTGTATATTTCTCGAGTATAAAGATTCTTTGTGCTCCCTAAATTTAAGAACAAGTTAGTTGGTATTTTTTCATTAATTAGTAAATACAAAATAAAAGTATGGCTAAAATATAGGAAACTTACTCTATGTAAACATCAAGTTCATTTCCACAATTATTAATGATGTACCATTGCACCACATCAACATACTCCCCTAGTTGTCCGAATTTTGAAGAACCCAATGTACAGACTTTATTGGTGAATACCTCCAACCCATGTTGGGTGGTTGGTACATCCCAATTGCGTTCATCACGGTTGAATCTTGTCTCGATATCATCTATATAACGAGATAAAAATGTGACAGCCTCATCGACAACATATGCTTCAGTAATGGATCCATCAGGACGAGCAAAGTTACGAACATATCCCTTGTATGTACCCATACGACGTTCGATCCCAAACATCCATCTTTGGCTTACTGGTCCTCCTAATAATGCCTCCTCTGGTAAATGTATGCACAAGTGAACCATGATAGTGAAAAATGATGGAGGAAATATCTTCTCAAGTTTGCATAATATGATTACAATCCCAGTCTTCATATCCTCGGGTTCTTTAGCATATACAGTCTTAGAACATATTTTTTGAAAGAATTGGCAAAACTCGATCAAAGTTGTACGTATTTCGTTGTTCAAGAAAGGAAGAAGGGCTACTGGTAGTCTTTTCTAAAGCAATACATGACAATCATGTGTTTTCATCCCCCCGAGTGTATTAGAATCAGTCGCACATCGACTTATGTTGGACGCATAACCATCAGGTAGGCAAACAAACTTGATAAATTTGCAAAACTCCACACATTCATCTTTAGTCAATGTGAAATTAGCATGAGGTTTCTCAAATTTTCCATTTCTCTCTCTTAGCCATTGATCCTTGTGAATATTAAGATCCTCCAAGTCTAAACGTGCATTTGTGGTATCCTTTGACTTCACGGGATCATTTAACAATGTCCCAACTATATTATCATGGGCATTTTTCCCTATATGCATGACATCAAGATTATGGCGCATCAATAGTTTAGACTAATATGGAAGTTCAAACAATATACTCTTTTTTTACCAATTAAGCTCATTAGCACCTCGTTTACGCTTCTTATCGACATTACTAGGTGCTTTTCCAGTAGTGCGTCTTGGAATATCAGCCAACTGTGTTAGAATTTGATCACCTGTAAATCGACGAGGTTTTTCCCTTAGCTCTTTCTTCCCATCAAATTCTTTGCTATTTCGCCACCTATGTGTTTTGCTTAAAAAACATCGGTGTCCAGTATAACATTGTTTACCACGAATCCTTCTAGAAAGGGTATCCTCAAGGCATATTGGACATGCCAGCTTACCCATAGTACTCCACCCAGACAAGTAAGCATAAGCAGGGAAGTCACTGATTGTCCATATTACTGCGGCATGGAGAGTGAAAAGTGACTTTGAATGTTCATCATATGCTTGAACCCCATTACCCCATAGAACTTTAAGTTCGTCCACAAGTGGCCTTAAGAAGATGTCAAAGTCTTTACCAAGAGATTTTGGACCAGGAATTAGTAACGTTAGAAAGTAATTGCTCTTATGCATTGTACACCAAGGTGGCATGTTATATGACATCAAAATAACAGGCCACATACTATATGAAGTTGTCATATTGCTAAAAGGGTTAAGCCCATCTGAAGCCAACCCCAATCGTACACTCCTAGGATCATCTGCAAAATTAGGATACATTTTATCAAAATGTTTCCAAGCCTCTCCATCAGCCGGATGACGCAAAACTCTAGGCTCATCCTTGCGAACTTCTTTATGCCAACGCATGTCTTTGGCAGTGTGGCGTGAAGCATATAGACGCTTCAAACGAAGTGTTATTGGAAAGTATCGCAACTTCTTATGAGCAATTTTGTTGCGTACGTAACGATTGCTTTGACAAACGGGACATGTTATGGCATCTTTGTTGTCCCCATAGAAAATAGCACAATCATATTGACAAACATCAATAAGCTCATAACCTAAACCGGCTTCACAAAGCAACATTCTAACATCGTAATAGCTCTCTGGACAATTATTACAATCAGGAAGATCCTCGTGTAGCAACTTTAGCATCATCTCAAAAGAATTATCTGTCCACTTGTTCATCACTTTCAAATTCATCAACTTCACAACAAACGTCAATGTAGAACTCTTGCATCCTTCATACAAAGGTTTATTTAGAGCTTCATGTAGCTTCTCATAACGAGCATTTCCTGGGTGTTGGTTACCAATTAGATCATTGGTAGGTCCAATATCAAATAATGGATGACCAACTGCATCCTCTAATCCTGCTCTTAAGCCTGCAGATTCAGTATTAACAAAATTATTATGTGGAAGATCTTCTTCTTCGACTTCATCTTCACCATGATGCACCCACCGTGTATATGACTTATCAATTCCTACACTAATCAAATGGGAAGTAATGACACTTATATTTTGTAGTCTCGAATTGAGACAATTACTGCACGGGCATGGAGTTAACCCATTAGAATTCAAAGTATGTCGGGCAACATTTAGAAATTCCTTTACCCCGTTCACATACTCGATAGAGGTCCTATTCTCAATCTTGACCTATTGATGACCCATATGTTGTATCTAACCATTATTACCAATAGAAATCAATTAGTGTAAAGTTTTTTCTATGATGCTATAAGCTGGAAATGGCATACAAACAAAATTAGATAAGGTAGTTCACACTTAATTCAAATTAGCATTGTGAATACAACTTATGATGGAAATGTAATCTATACTTAGGGTTATTTTAGTAATTTTAAGAAGTAAGTCATGAAGTTAAGATGGCAGTTACAGTTGGGAAGGAAGTTACTGTTAGAAAGATGATAGGAGAAGTGAGAAAGATGATGGGGAGAAGTGAAATTTCAGAAATACCCCTGTTGGTTGAAGTAGTAAAAGTCTAGATTAAGGAGGAATGATGGAAATGTAATATAGACTTAGAGTTATTTTAGTAATTTTAAGAAGTAAGTCATGCAATTAAGATGGCTGTTACAGTTGGGAAGGAAGTTATTGTTAGAATCATTATATTTTGGGTCAAAATTCACATCTGTTCATTAACATCTCTCTTCTCTAATAAGTAATGTTCAAATTATTGCTTTAATTCAATGTTTCTTGGGCTTAATCCCAACAGCTTATAGGTGTGTGTGTGTGTTTAATTCAAATTAGCATTGTGAATACAACTTACAGAAAGGAAAATTTCATTTTTTTTCAATGTTCTAGTGTTGGGTTCTAAAGTTGTTATGATTTACGTTTTTTTATGCTTTACGGTTGATAAATATGATTGAACAGGGGGTGAACATGGTGAGTTTTCTTTCCATTCTGCTAGATGTTTTTAACTGTTACAATAGGTGAGAATTTCTGTCATGTCAGAGGCTCATATGAACAGTGAACAAATCTTCTAAAACTAAAATAGAAGAAGTTTACAACAGTTGTTCAAGATTTGTAATCTTTATGGCAAAGTGTTATGTTAAGTATATGTTATTCTAATAGAAACAATGCTAAAATTCTGCAAAAGGAAGGCGTATGAAGTTTTTTAACATATCTTTGTAGTTTCAAGAGTGGTATTGAACACCAAAGAGATTGCCAATGCAGATTATAAGGTGAAACTATAGATTCTTTAATGTAGTATTTCTTACTTATGCTATTTTTTATGCATGCTCCCCTATAAACAATGAACAATTAGGTATTTTTTTTTAGCAAATTTAGGTGAAGTTTGGTTGATCATTCTCTATTCATTTTTTATGACAAAGAGCTAAAACTGCATATTTAAAGGGCTACATTACTTCTCATTAGAAAACTTGAAATTATTAATCTTATCAAATAATCTTATAAATTAGGAGTTAGCACCATGATATTGGGTTAATTAATTTTAAAATGTTTCGTGGCTTTCTTATGCTATATTGCAGGTGCTATTTTCTTAATACAATAGCTTAGCTATATACACGTGGTTGATTCTTATGTCATCTCATTCTTAATTTGGTTAGTATATCGTTGAACTAAGATAAGAGCCACCTAAAAGTGATATTCTAAAAAGCTTTGTATTCAAAGGTTCAATGCATGAGGAACAGAGCCTTCTTAAAGTAATTGTTTGTGATTATTATGTTGACATTTTTATATTGACTCAATTGATTCATTGTTGATTTTGCATCATGTATTGAAGGTATATGTATTAATACGATCTATTTTTTTTAATACGGTCAGAAAAAAGTGAACAATATTTTATCCTTGTTATACAATACGGTTGTTTGACCGTATTATATTTAGATTTTTGTAGTAGTGAAAGCAACAACAAAATCAAAGACTTATATGCAGTAAACAAGTTCATATGGAAAAAAATGGGAAACAAGAAAGTACCTGAACAGATAGACTGGACTATAGAGCAGAATCGATGATGAATGGAGAAGGAATACGAGGGCGTTGATGCAGGATATGAAACAAGAAGTAATTAATTAGTTTGATGGAGTATTTGATTACATCAATACAAGATCCAACAATCAATTTGTACCTTACCTGAAGCCTTTTCCGCACCTTGTTTCGTCGATGCTTCCCCTGCGTATTAGGGTTTTGCCGATCGTTTGTGGAACAATGTCAACATAACAACATACGTAGAAAACTATAAAACCCATGATTCGTGATT